CTCCTGCAGGCGCCCCTTCTACAGCTGGGGATCAAACCTGCAACCCAGGTCTGACCCTTGACTAGGAATTGAACTAGTGGCCCTTTGGTACACAAGCCCACACTCTAACCACTGTGCAACACCAGCCAGGGCAAATATATGTATTTTTAATTTTTTATATATATAATATGCCATTTTAGCCTCTCTGTACCGCAGGCCGACGCTCCAACCGCTGAGCCAAACCGGCCAGGGCCCATTTTAGCCTCATGTATTTTTTTGTTGTTGTTGTTAATCCTCACCAGAGGATATTTAGGCATTTGTTTCTATAACACATCTGCATGTTTATTTACGTGTTTATTGTCTCCTGTAGTCCACTGCCTAGATCCTCTCCCTGCCCAGTGAGTGCTAAGTATCTGACCCTCGGTGGATGTTGATGTCGTAGATGTTGATTCAATAAATGACTATATCTTTTCCGCCACACCCAGTGCCCGTGTGGTAAAGCTTTGCAGGTGTCGTTATGATTGTTTACTCAGTGTATCAATTGTATCTAGTCACCTATTTAAAATACATGTTTTTTTGTCGGTCTAATTAACATACACTTGCTTTAAAATAGTGCAGAAATGTACATAGTACAAATGAGAAGGTTCCCTCCCCAACCCTCCCAGGATCTCAGCCGACAGTTCGATGAACATCCTTGGTGCTTCCTTGAGGCCATGAATGCCATGGCCGATAGTTAACGATGAATAAACCGGGGCCTGGGAAGGCAGAACATTCGTTTGAGAAGCAGCTCCTCAGCTCACCAGGCTGTGGTTTACTCCCGACCAGAGCTCCTTACTGCAGGGCCTAGTGTAGATGAAAAGGAGCAGAAGCCCTGCCGGTTTGGCTCAGCGGTTAGAGTGTTGGCCCGCGGACCAGAGAGGCCCGGGTTCGGTTCCTGCTAAGGGCACGTACCTCAGGTGCAGTTTGTCCCCGGCCCCGGTTGGGGTTGTGTGGGTGGTAACCACTCAATGCGTCTCTGTCATATTGATGTCTCTCTCTCTCTCTTCCTCCCTCTCTCCCTCTTGCTCTATCTCAAGATAAATGCAAAAATGTCCACAGGTAAGGATTAAAAAAAAAAAAGAAAAGGAGCAGAAACGTCCACTGCTCCCTCTGCTGAGCCCTCTCCTAACCCATTAACTGTGATCGTCAAAACTAGGTTTTGACGAGAAAAATGATGTATTTCTTCCAAAACAAAAAAAACTAAAACAAAACAAAGGGTGCCGGTGTGACCCTACAGCTGGGAGGGCGTGAGATGTAGTCATCTGCCCTCATTAAAGCAGCCTCCCAGCCTCTTCGAGGCCCCAGATTTAGAATAATCTTTATCATCTGATCGAAAGATGAATTTCACATGAACCAGACGCTTTTCTGTACCGACAGTCTCTCCTTCAAGACAGTCCATAGAGAATGCTCATTTCATATCATATTGTGAACTTGGTAGCTGTCACTTATTTGGGGGGAAGTTGGCTCATGAAATTAAGAAAACCTAACAAGGAAACAATAACACGGATAATCATCCGTGCAAATCAAATCTCTGTGCATCAGTTTCCCAGGCTTTTCATTAGCCTTGCCCTCTCCTGCCTGACACGAGACGAGAGAAGCACAGTGCTTCTGTACAGGTCGAGCGAAGCAGCAATAACAATAAATAGTAATAAAATAATAATCATGAATAAAAGCTAATATTCAGCACCTAGCTATCAGAGACTATGCTAATTAAATACCTACCTATACTGTCTTTTTTCCCTATCTATATTGTTAAAAATGTATAGAAGGGCTTTGTAAGTTAGATATGATTATCATTTCAGATGAAGAAAGACTGAGAGAGGGTAAGTAATGTACCCAGTCATGAAAGTAGGGAGAGCACTGTGGTTGGAATTTGCAAGTCTAGTCTGCTGGTAGTGGCCTGGAGTGATTGAGGACTTTGCTATGTCCAGGCGTGGCCAGACAGAGTCAGGTTTGATTAGCCATGAGTATCTGCCATGCGTATAAGTGAGGACTGGGGGTAGCAGAACATAGGCGCATGTATGTCTCTTGCATCACAGTACCTCACAAGATGATGCAACTTAGGGAGGAAAAATGTCACCTCCCTTAAATATTTTGGTAAAATATCACAGTCGCAGGGACCTGTGCCCAGTGATAATAAAAAGGCATGTCGTTCCCAAGTGTCTAGGGGCTGAGACGTGCCAGGGGCAGAGCCGCTGGCTTCCCACAAACAACAGTGTCTCACTGGCCACGCAGCTCCCCGATGGCTCCCCAGCGGTAGCATTGTCACATCCCAACAAAGCGGCTTTGCCCGCAGACACATAAGCCCGACGGCTGGCACTGACAGGTCCCTGAGAAATGCACTGTCCTCTGTTCTTTCAGCCTCATTGTTCAGCGTCAAGGGAGTGAGGCTTATGTCCAGATCTAGACAATGATATGTGCTATGTTCTTGTTGTCAGCAATATTGTGGGTCACCATGTATCTGAACTTTCAAGGCTCAAATGCTCTGGAATGACCTTCTCACACCCTAACCCTCCTGCTGGAAGATCTATTTGTCCCTGACCACTTCCTCTGCAGTCTTCCCGGACCACCCCTACCTCCCGCTGCAGGATCGGCTCGTTGACCCTTGTCACCCCAGCATCTAGGACAGTGCCAATAAAACTTCAGTGATTGAAAGAATAAGCTAAATTGTGTCGAAACTTAAGAAATTCAGTGTAAACTATAGTGCTTTTTGTGACCCAGGAAGATGAAAAGGTAGTAACTATTCAAAGGTGCTCTCCTTGGATCTACTCTGATCGCAGGTGAATTGCACAGTCTAGCAGCAGAATCTAGTCGAAGGGCTGTGCTTCCAGGGAACGTTGGGCTGCAGTCAATGGGGAGAGGCACACTCTAAAATCATACATCTGGGGCTAATGAGCAGAGACTGATACATGTTAAAGTGTGTCATTTGTGTGTTTCTTTACATTTGATGTGTACAAAAGTCATTGATTGACAGATCTCCCACTGGTCTACAAAGAGTGACAGTTGATGTAGTAAGTAGTTCACCAGCAGTATCTATGACTTGATGCATGTTATAGCCATAAAATGTTAACTAGTGTTCAGAAGTCTACCGACCACCAATCTCATGTGTTGTGTCTGCTGGGATGCTTTGGGCTGCAAGTAATAGAAAGCATAATTCGAAATGGCTTATACCATAAGAACATTTTATCTCAAAAACAAGAAGTCTTGAGATAGGGTCCTGGAATGATTCATTAATCCAGCAGCATAGTCACATCTTGAAGGACTACTTTGCTGTCCCCACTCCTAAATTAGAACAATAAATTGACTGAAAAGACGTAGGTCCTTCTATAGGTGTGCCCGAACTAGTTGAGTATCTTCTCTTGTTCCTTATTCTTTGAGATAAGAAAGTGAGAAGGAGATAGCCTTGGAGTGAACATGAGAGAAAAGCTCCCCAAGAAAAGGAAATATACACACAGATCCTGAAACAGAAAACCGATCAGATCTGAAAGTGCTGGACTGTTGGGCTCACAGTGAGCAGGAAGAGAATCACAGGAGGTACCTGCTGGAGGGAGGAATGGTTAGAACCTTGTAGGTCGAGGTGAGGAGTGGAGGTTTATTCTAAGTGCAGTGGGAAGCCATTTGAAGGATTCAGTAGGGTCTACAAGTCAAAGGTGACACCAATAATCCCATGCAGGATCCTTTTACATGTTGGAAAGAGTAACTCCGTATAATATAGGCTGTATGTCAGTAGAGAAGCTACTTAACAAAGTCCCAATTTAATAGACAGTCCCTAGGAAATCAGCTCCGTTACCTTGGTTCTATGCAGAGTGGATCTTCAGTTCTAGTGGTGAACACATGTTCATGAACAGGGTAGCCTGGTGGAATGACTTATTCTGGAGCAACTCCAAGACGTTTTAACTAAAAGATGGTGCCTCTGGAGAGAAACAAAAGCGATTTTCCCATTTGGTGACCCTACTACTCATTTTAATAGTTATTCATTATTTTTACTCCCAACAGACTTCTAGAACCTAGGAGGAGATACTGCCAGAAAGAGGGTGGGCAGACGCAGCTCCCCTGGCGGTCAGCCAGCTTTCCCTTCGGTTGAGTGTGCTTTGCATACTCTGAGACATATGCCTAAAGGGTTCGTTGGAATGGACGCCACTGGTTCCTGTTGCCAAGTCTTTGCACATTTCAGGTTTCATCACTGAGCTCAGCAAATCCCAGAGCTCTGCTGCTTCCTTAGCAGTTCCTTGATAAAAATGTCTTATCAACATATCGGTTTATTTCTCAACAGTCTCTCGCTTTTCAGTAGTCTTTGAGCACCTGTGTCTGTGTGGAGGCAAACACGGCGAGGCAGTGAAGAACAGTGTGTGAGCGGTGTCATACATGGTGTGGGGAGCTCAGAGCAAGCCCGGATGGGCTTCCCGCAGAGAATGACAGCAGAGCTAAGCCTTGTAGGAGGCTTCTTTGGCTTCTGTGAGGAAGATGGATGGGACAGCGGAAAGATGTAACCAGGACAGTGGTTTAGAGGCCAAGGAGAGGCCTGGGCTATCCAGACGCGGAGGGAGAGTTGGCTGAAAGAAGTAAAAAGAGGTATTCCAGGAACACAGCCAGTGGGACTCGGAGAATGATGGGCATAGGACAGAACTGAGATAATTCCAAGAACTCTCAGCTAATCCTGTCACATCCCCAAAGTTATTAAGCTGAAGCACAGAGGTCACCAGAGTTCTTCATAGACCCTGCCCTGAGCCGTCCCCTTTTCCATGACCTCTTCTGGGAACACTGATGAAGAATAAGTGGTATTCTGTGTGCTCTTCAGAATAAAGCCCTAGTTGCATTACTCTTGTTCACAGAACATTTGAAGATGCTTCTGGGTACATGCAAATTATTATGGGACATCTGTCCCCCTTCAGCCAATGGCAGACAGCCTTCAAAGTATGGTTAATATCAGAAGTGAAATTATTTTCCTAAATGTTGTTTCTTTCTTCTTTTCATTTATGAAGTATATTCGGTGCTCTTCGAACTGGTGCTTATATGGTGTACATTTTGATGACCAAAGGCCTGAAGCAGTCAGTTTGTGACCAGAGTTTTTACAATGGACCGGTCAGCAAATTTTGGGCGTATGCATTTGTGCTAAGCAAAGCACCGGAACTAGGTGAGTATCTTCCCTCCTTCTATTTCCTCCTCCTCACCCCCTTTATAGCTACTTACCCACAATATTTATTTCAAAACAAACAAAAAAAAACTCAAACAATTTGAAGGTCCTGTTTTGCTGGTTGCAAGAAAGTTACAATTAATGGCCAACTTCCATGATCTTTTCCTCTCTCTCCTCCCTCCCTGCTTTTAAATAATTGTACATTGTGTATATGAAGAGCAAAATTCTCCGCATAGAACATGCAGATTTCCAAGCACTACTGTATATCACGTCCAGGGGCTTATAAAATATATGCAGCCCCTTCCCTCTGGAACATTAGCATCGTGGCTAATATTCAAATATGAGGGAAAATTAGCAACATGACTGTTTCCGAGTCCCATACCAAAGCATGCTCCTGTTTCTGGAATTAGGAACCAGACTAGGAAATGAAGCTTTTCATTTGGGTGTCCTCATGAGAAAATGCTAAGGGTTGATTTCCGGTGTTGTTTGGTTTTAATCCTCAAAGAGAGGGGCCTCGGAGCAGTGGACTGGAGTTCACTTTTTAGAAACTAATTTTAAAAAAACTAGTTATATTTGTAGATTTCTAAGATCTTTCCCTCAGCTCTTTAACGGGCTCCAGTGTAAGTGCGTCCCAGGTTAGCAGAAACGGTGAGAACATAAGTGGCAGTGATTGGACATGGATTTGACATGGATTCAGTTCCCTGGGAAAATACCTCTTGCCAAGAAAAGGATCCGCCGGTCATAACAAGCTCTGACTTCATCCATGAGCCCTGTTGGCCACTGTCTCACAAACCAGTTCAGATCTTTTTTTTTTTTTTTTTTTTATCCTCACCCGAGGACATTTTTCCATTTTTTATTCAGGTAGAGTGGGAGGGAGAGAGAGGAAGAGAGAGAGAGAGAAACATCGATGTAAAAGGAACACATCGAGTGGCTGCCACCCGCACAACCGACCAGGGCCGGGGACAAACTGCAACCGAGGTACGTGCCCTTAGCGGGAACCAAACCCGGGTCTCTCAGGACCACAGGCCGACGCTCTAACCGCTGAGCCAAACCGGCCAGGGCACCAGTTCAGATCTTTAGAGAACACTTAGCCATGCTCTAGGTTTCTTCATTTTTAATATAGAATTGAGAATTCTGTGTATTAAGTTTAAAATATTTATTTATAGATGTTCTTCCATTTTTTCCTAGAAAGGTGTTACAGGTAATTTCATCATAAACCACCTACACTACAACATATCAGCAATCTTTCTGAAAGGTGCCCCGGGCACATGTCCTGTTGTCTTTTCTCCAAGGTCTCTCTGTCTTGGGTGTCAGCAAACCACGTGCCTTCCACTGGGTGGATACACCTGCTGGCGGTTGGTTTGACCGGGAGAGCAGCTCAAGAAAACTTAATCCAATTGGATCATTCAGAACTTTTCTTATTTTTAGGTCCCAAGTTCTGTTTTTCAGTACTCCAAGATGCTGGACCCCCTTATGCGCACCAGAAAGACAATGTCTCATGAGAAAAAAGAACAGTTCAACACTGAAACTCTCTATTCCCCCCCCAAAACTTGCATGCCTCCCATTTCACTAAACTTTTGTTTTATTCCTGAGTCAAAATAGGCATAAAACTTCCTATTTCTAAGTGTGCAGGGCTACAGCATTAAGAACATTTGTGTTGTCCACTTATCACACCTCTCCTTCTCCAGCACTGACTCATCTTCTTTTTTTTTTTTTTTTTTTTGGTACATGCCCCTAGTGGGAACCGAACCCGGGACTCTCTGGTCTGCAGGCTGACGTTCCAACCGCTGAGCCAAGCCGGCCAGGGCTGATTCATCTTCTTGAGCTAACATTCTCTCCCCATTAAACACCATCTCACCGTTCCCCCTTCACTAAACTCTCAGTAGCAAGACAGGCGTTCTGTTCCAGCAGAAATCATTAAGCTCCTTTCAGTGAATTACAGGGTTACAGTCTCCTAGACCAGTGAGGGGAAGAGCGCCACCATCCTGCCTGCTGTGCCAAAATCCTGGTGCGCCTACTGTTTGAACTAGATTACAACCTGCTGCGATCTGGTTCTGTTAAAACTTGGCAACATCTGCTCTGAGACCAGGGCCTTGCTCAGTGGAGTCTGTCTTTGTTTCTGAAACTCTGACTCAGCAGAGCTCCAGCTAACTGAAGAGAAGCACAGCCGTCTGTGACAGACCACACACAGAGTGGCTGGCGGCCGTGCGTGCCCCTGGGGACTTCCGAGTGCTAAAGGGACACTTGGGCATGAAGTGACCATGCCCTGCCTGCAGCCTGGCTCTTGACTGAGCATAGCTGAACCAAAGGTTAGAGAAACAGTGGTGAAGAGACACCAGCCATGGCACAATATGAGACATGACTGAAATGCTCAAGAGTCAAAGGTCCCAAATCCTTGACACCTAACCAAAACCCTTTCCATAACGCCAGCTGGACCTTCGCCTGAGAATGATTAGTTGGCCAACATCACATGCAGAGTCCCTATCTTTAATTGGCATTTCTAGGACACTCGTTTTTGGCAAGCCGGTAAATGCCATGGCTTGTGACAAATCGAATGTGATGGTATGCGGTTCCCCAGAGGGAAAAAATTGTGTTGCCAGAGTGCTGTGACTGCTGCATCTCAGCAGCAAATCAAAGAGCCACGGGAGGTTTCAAGGAGCCCTTCCGGAGCACCCCTAGCTTCCCCTCACCCAAGGGAAACTATTATTCTCTGGGTCACTAGCCATCTTGAGGACAGTCACCTTGATATGGCATTGGAGTTGGTACTCCCGAGAGGCTCCAGGGCCATCTTCATTGCTCCATCTACCATCCTGCATAGCTGTTCTGAAAAAAATTCTTAAGTGAATTTAAATCCATTTTGTTTTGAAGGTCTCATGACATGTCCTTTACCCCCACCTCCCTATATTAAGTGGAAACACCTAGTGTGTCTCAGATCAAGCCTGACACCTCCCCCCTGCACTGAGGCAGGAAGAGCACAAAGCCGTTTTCAACGCCAGAACTGTATTTCCCACTTTCCACCCGTGTCGCCCCTCCTAACACGGCACGTCCTTTGTCTCCTGCTCTCCTCCCAACGAAGTTGTTCTCTGGACGTATGATGTAAAAGCGATGATAGAGTTAAAATTCAATCTGTTTATAAGGATGAAATGCTTATTACTTCATGGCAAGTGACTTGTATTACAATGTGTTTGAATATTGTGTGGGACTAAATTTGTTTTTAATGTGCAATTCCTTGGGCATCTAGGTTGTCCGCCGAGAACAAAGGTGAGCTGGAATTGTTGTTTCTACGTGATCACCTACGGAGGAAAGGCAGGCCCAGGGTAGTAATTACATAGAATACTAGACCTTTGACAGGCACACACAATAGCACAGTGTAACATTAAGACATAGACCCGGGTCTCCTAGCACTATTTTTGTCCCTGAAATATACAAGTGAGTGTTACCATCACCATCAGTCATTATCAGCCTGCCTGATATTTGTAGGCATAATATGTCAGCCTATAAGCGGGAAGAGACTTCAAAGAACATTTTATAATGGGTTCAGAAATGCAGCAATTGGCAACTTTCCTGTTCCTAACAAATATAAAGTGATCATGTTTTAACAGTTCATTAGGAAAGCAGATTAATATCTCCTGCCCAATGGAATGGGGCACCGCCGTATTAGTCCAACCATGGCTGCCTGTCCAAGGTCCGGCATTCTTTGTGCCACATGTTGTAGGGCACCTTCAACTATGAGGGATAGGATAAAGATAAGTACTGATTCCCTGTGTGCTTAATTAAATTTCAGAATAACAAGAGAAGACATCTTGTTCTCCTTGTTATCCAACAAGAAGTCAAGTTTGAGTTTGCCAATGGTCATGAAGGATGTTGGTTTTCACCGTATCTGAGAACCACGAAGATAGGAAAGAGAACGAAGCCTTTGCCTGCATGAACCCACATCCCAATGTCTTCTACCCTTTTTTTTTTTTTTGTATTTGTTAATGGAATTGGATGTATTTGTCCCTTTTTTTTTTTTTTTTTTTTTCATTATTTTAAAGAGAGAGAAAGGGAGAGACAGAGAGAGCTAGAAACATTGATGAGAGAGAACATGGATTGGCTGCCTCCTGCATGTCCCCCACTGGGGATCAGGCCCACAACCTGGGCATGTGCCCTGACCAGGAATTGAACCGGTGAACTCTTGATACATGGGTCGACACTCAACTACACCAACCGGACAGATGTTATTTGTTCCTTATCCATTTTTTACATATGTTCTACAGTATATTTTCCAGAATTCCTAGACCTCTCAGAATCATTGCAGATATATAGCATCTTCCTACCTGAACATAATTCTAACTTCTGTCATAAACTCCCTACCTTAGAAACAGTGGTCTTTTTCTTCAAGGAGATAATGCCTGTAAAAATTTTGATAGCTCTAGTGAGCTATTTCAAAGTTGATTCCATAAAAATGTATGTCAATCTCAGTTTTTTATCACTTGATTCATTGGTTTCATAAAATATTTCTTTTGCCCTCTTCAACAAATACAATATACGATGACTTTGTTCTTTTTTTCTACTTTTGCCTTTTGCTTAAATTTTACTTTTCTAACTGCCATATGTCAAGCTGTTACCTTTTACAGGAAGCTTACAAAGATGTATTTTTAAGGGGTCCCTTTTTCATGTACCAAAGAAAAACAGTTTACTGCTCCAGAGAGGTATAAGAACATTGTGCTGGGCACTTAAAGTCTAATGTTTCTCTTGATTGACAACTAATCTGAGACAAGTCACCTGACTCTTCCAGGTGATATTCCCTAAAATATATGGCAAAGTTGGAAATCAGGCAGCATGGTCACTAATGTCCCTTTAAGATAAAAAATTACTAAGGTTTTGTGCAAAACACATTTTTTTTCAATCTTCACCTGAGAATATTTTTCTATTTATCTTCAGATAGAGTGGGAAGGAGAGAGAGAGGAAGAAAGAGGGAGAGAAAGAGAAATATCCATAAGAGAGGGACACATCGACTGGTTGCCTCCCTCACGACCAGGGCCAGGGACGGACCGCAACCAAGGTACGAGATACGTGCCCTCAGCTGGACTCAAACCCGCGACTCATTGGTCCGCAGTCGACGCTCTAACCACTGAACCAAACCGGCCAGGGCCAAAACACCTTTCTGAAAGTGACATTTATTGAGTTCTTACCATGTGCTGAGAGGGTCTGTTGCTAATCCTGTGTAATTCTCAGACAATTCCAAGCTACGGTGGTTATCCCTGTTTTACAGAGGAGGAAACTGAAAAGCAGTGAGAATACATAACTTGCCCGAGGTCACAGAGGTAGTAAATATCAGTCCAGGATTCTAACCCAGTCCATCCCACCCTCCAGGGCTCATGCAAGATACGGACTTTCCATGCAGAAATGTCAAATGTCATCATGTCATGGTCCAGGGGCTCAAGTTCTGTCTCTCTTTCGCCTTTCAGGAGATACAATATTCATTATTCTGAGGAAGCAGAAGCTCATCTTCCTGCACTGGTACCACCACATCACTGTGCTCCTATACTCCTGGTACTCCTACAAGGACATGGTCGCCGGGGGTGGTTGGTTCATGACTATGAACTATGGCGTGCACGCCGTGATGTACTCTTACTATGCCTTGCGAGCGGCGGGTTTCCGAGTCTCCCGGAAGTTTGCCATGTTCATCACCTTGTCCCAGATCACTCAGATGCTGATGGGCTGTGTCGTTAACTACCTGGTCTTCTACTGGATGCAGTATGACCAGTGTCACTCCCACTTCCAGAACATCTTCTGGTCCTCACTCATGTACCTCAGCTACCTTGTGCTCTTCTGCCACTTCTTCTTTGAGGCCTACATCGGCAAGATGCGGAAAACCACGAAGGCTGAGTAGCGCTGGGACTGAGGAGGAAGCCATAGCTCAGGGTCATCCAGAAAAATAATAGACAAAAGAAAATGGCACAAGGAATCACACATGGTGCAGCTACAACAAAACATATGAGCAAACACAAAACCCGAGGCAGCTTAGGGATAATTAGGTTGACTTAACCCAGTAAGTTTATGATCCTTTTTGGGTGAGGACTCACTGAGTGCACCTCTATCTCAAAGGACCGCTGCTAGACGACCCCATTCCCTCTTTATCTGTCAACTTTGAAACAAATGAAAGCAAAAGTGAGCCAGAGGCAGAGCGAGAGAGACATAGATGGTAAACAACAGCTATTAACACCGTATGAAAAGTATTTACAAAGTGTTATATTTCTCTAAGGATGAAAGAAGTTTACTTTAAAAACTGCAAGCATCTGCACACACACAATCCTTTCTAATCTTTTTGGCACGTAATAAACTGGAGCCAATAGAATAAGTAAAAATGGAAGACACACAGGGTGTACATCTGGAACATTCATGCTTTTGCAAAAATTAAAGCCTTTTTAAGAAAGGTTCGTAGCTGTAGCCCCCATGAGAAAAGATGTCTTAATCACCTCTTATGAAAACTGATGTAGACAAGTATATTTCAGCTGGTGTTTTCCTCTTAGCAACACAGGCTCGGGCGAACCGGTGTGCCAAGACCAAACAGGGCCACAGTATTTTCCCAGGTTCCTCCCGGGAGGTTGGAAACAAAGCAGCTCAGTGCCGAATGGAGCCGCTTCGACTCCGAACGTTTCTGGTGGTTGTAACAGTCATTTCTGCTCTTAAATGATATGGAGCATTGTCCTTGGTTCTGGTACCCCAGGCTTTTCAAAAGAAGAGTAAACGGGATAGAAAAGGTAACGGTCAACCGAATGGTTTGAAAATGGATTCTGTAGTACATGTAAAAATGTTCAGCCCTGTATCATTCTTCACCTGGGAAGGGGGGGGGGGGGGGGGGGGGCCGAAGATCTATACAAAGTATTCCCCTCCCGCATCCTCATAGCTTTCCACATGAAACCTTAGGGTACAGTCCATATTTTCTATATTTTTGTGAACTCCAAAAAGAAATCTGCAGGGCTCTTCCTGATACTGAGTGAACACTGTGTTTCTGCATCATCTGCATTTGCTCCCTAAGCAATGTAGAGGTGTGTAAAGTGCCCTCTGCTGGTTAAGTGGAGATACTTCGACAAACACTTCATGGGAAGTTTGGCTGAACAGTTGGCAACAAAGGGCCCCCTCTAGACTTACCCTTCAAATTTTAAATGACACGAAATGCACGTCATATTTTTGGCCGAATCAGAAGACATTCTTTCTGCTTCAAGTTAGCTTCAGAAAATTTTTTAATGGGACTTTCGTTCTGGAACTCAAAATCAATTTATTAAGAGCCATATTCTTTAAAAAAAAAAAAAAAAAGTGAGTTAATATATTATTGGTAATATTTCAGTCCTTTACAAGCCAAATAAATGTGTAAACATTCCTAGTATTTCAAAGAAGCAATTATGTAAAGTTGTTCAATGTGATATAATAGTATTCTAATTGGTTAAGTAGCTTAATGATTAGACAAACTAGTTGAAAAAATTAGGGGCTACTACACTGCATAGATATTACATGTATAGCCACACATGTATGCACAGATGTGGAGTACACTAAACTTCAAAGCCCAAATGAATAGACACACGTTTTCTGGCTAGCAGAAAAGAAACTGGTGTTTATCTTTCTTGCTTTATTTGAAAGTGTACAGTAAAAGGGATTTTTTTCAAATTATTTTTATATTATTTTAGCTTTAATTGTGCTGTCATTCATGAAACAGAGCTGCTGCTTCTCTGTCAGAGATGACAAGGGCTTTCTCAGTATCTCATTTGTGTGTGGAATTTAAGAGAATAAAGTTTTATTCCATTCTGTGTGAATGGTTTGAACAATGAACAAAGGATCCATGCAAACCACATCATGACTGCTAGACAGAGGTTGGGGTGGGGTGTATGCAGGGAGGGAAGCTGTTACATCTGTGTTAAATTATCATGACCAGTCTATGATGTCTTGACATTGGCTCATAGATGAGAAACCACTGATGGAGGAATGTATTATTATTATTAGGGCAAAGGCTGACATGAGCTGAAAAGATACATCCTGCTGTAACAACTAATAGATTCTATTATGCAAATAATGTTATTTTGAGCTTTGAAAACACATGATACTGTGCAATAAGCTTTTTTTCTTATTACAGAAAATAAGCAGAATAATTAAAAGGAGAAAGAGGTCAAATAACAGCTGACTTGAGTTTAACTGAAGGACCAGTTAGAGCTCATTGGGTTGATTTGATTTAATTACTTAGTCCATTGATTTATCATTGATCCTTTAATGCAGGTTAGAACAAGGTCACGAGTGTACACACTCCAAGTGATTCCCAAGCACTTGCATTCTGATGCAGGTTCATGCTCGTGTTCACTTGTGAGGAAATTTAGAAATTTTGTTTACTTACAGGCTGGGTAGCTAATAACTTTTAAGTGAACTAAATATATCTAAAGATATTTCCGATGTTTTTTTCATGGGAGGGGAAAAAACATTTTAAAAAATTCTGGGATTGCAGATTCAGTACAATGTTTTTAACATCTCAGTTCAACTGCTTAATTATATCAAGAAAGGAGGCTGGATCGCTAGCCCATGGCAGATCTGAAAACTATCAGAGAATTAGACAGTCCTGCTGCTGTTAACATTCCAGAAAAACTTGGGCAGGCAAGTGTTTATAGCTGCCTCACTCGGCTGCAATCGATTATCTTTCTATTGAAGATTTTTCACTGCATTCCAATTACAGTATGATGAAAACATTCCTGCATTGAAAAAAAAGATTCTTCATTTCATATATAAGTACATGCAATTTGATACACTAGATCTGAGCATCAACCCAAGCCTATGAGTGGCAATGAAAAACAATTCTAGTGAAAAAGACTATTCGTAGAGCAGGAGATTTTATGTGGAACTTCTAGCTTTACTAGTGAGAAAAGCAAGTACTAAACTATTCATATCCAGTGCCAGGCCAAAGTACCAAATGAATCATACATTGAGGTTATTATTCCAGGTCATTTACTCCCATCCTTCAATCACACTCCATTACAAAAGTTAGGGGAGGGACAATACACAAGATACCTTTTACTGAAGGAATAAAAAGGATCGTATCTCCTCACTTCACCTCTCAGCTAATGACACTCTGGACTGCGTCCGAAATTTCATTTGAGTGGGTTTATGTAGAATTCCATGGAAGAACACTTCTAGGGAAGAGACCAAAGAATTTAAAAATTAGATTGTGGTATCTATACGAGAGATAAAACCTGTTGCATCGGACTGATTGCCTGAAGTCAATTACACTGGAGTAGAATATTCCAAAAGCCTGCCCTCGTTCCCAGACTGCTGGATTACCTGGAGAGAACATGCTCAGGTTACTATCTTGTCTGGATTCTGGTAGAACCGCCTCTCAGCAACTAGATGTGTCACACAACTGAGTGCTCTCCCACCCAGCTGGGCTTTCTTCCAGTTCAGTTAATGATTCTCTGACAGGGTTGGATCGGCCTCATACTGACTCGGGAGAGCTGTGAGGAGGGTGGAGCAGATCACAGAGACTGCCTCCCAGAGTTCAGTGCTACGACTTGTTCATGCATGGTCCGTGTCTGCCTCTTTTAGACACACTTTCCTGAAAAAAGTTTCCATCCTGAAAAGTCCAACTGTTGGAGAACTTCCTGATGAAAGCCCAGAACTTGCCAGTAGTCCATTCTTTTTGTTTTCGGGAACAAACATTGTGTCATCAGCCCGGAACGATAGTGGAGCCTGTGACCAGCTGTGAGTCACCATCTCCTGTAACTTCTTAAAGTTGTTCTTCTGTCCCTTTTTATTTATACACGACCTGCTTCTGCGTGCCTCGGACCCATGACCACCAAGAAGAGGGTTTGCTAAGAACGCCCCACAGTAATGAGAGAGCTGGTGAAGAATCAATCTTGTGCCGACAATCAGGAGGAAGTGTTTGGTCCAGTTTTCCATTGAACCCACAGCCTCTGTATGCTGGTACCCGATACTTCAGCCAAACAAGTGTTGGTGCAAAGATAGCATTTTCTTGAATGTGAGCTGTGACGCTCTCGGTTATAAACATCCTCGAGCCAAGGTTTAGAGGCCGGTGAAAGACACCTGTGTAGAGTTTCGAGGAGGACTCACAAGCCTGTTGAATCGAGTTACTTTCCTCATCCTCGGACACTCTGAAAGGTCAGGACCCACAGAAGGGGAAAAGACAACCCCCCAGGCTCCCCTTAATCCCGAATTACACTTATTTTAAAAAGTGAAATGAGTTCTAGCACTAAAGAGACAGGCAACGAAAGCACACCACATGTGGGCTCAGGGCAGACAGAAATCTTGCAGGTACACGTCCCTGGGAAACCAAACCCAGAACGCATTGTAGTAAACTTCTGAAGCATCTGGTTAAATTAAAAAAAAAAAAAAAAGTCCCATCCAGCAGGGCCAAGCCATATTTGCAACCCGTTTAGGTCAGGATTGGGGGTCCTGACTCCGGCTGGTTTTTAAACGCTGTTGTTTTCCCAATGCTTGACAGCACTTGAGACTTCTCCCAGTGGCCAGGAGTCAAGAACGCTCCAGGGACAGCCTGGAAGCGCTGTCCAGGCTCGCGATTCAGACAGGTCTGCGGTCTGGGCATGTTCAGGCCGGAGGTTGCTTGAAAACCACTGGGAGATTCAGCCTCTTGTGGCCCCAGGGTCTACGTTCAGATGGAAGCCCACCCACATAAGCCTCACAGAGCTAATCACAGCAGTGTTGGAATTGTTATTTTCAAGTGCTTACTTCATGACATTAAAAGAAATATTTTTTTCTGATATATTAAATTAAAAATAAAATCATAACTTTTGATTTAAAACCAGATCATGTTTCCGGTTTCTTTTATCTCTTGTTCTCGGGCGATTCGAAGGGCTCGTCCAGAGCATTGAGGGCCACCCGAAAGTCTGTTGCGGATGTGACACTATTGTTCTTAAAAGTCCTTGTTCTCCAGCAGAGCCCAGCGGTAATGTCATCCCCAGTGCTACTCACAGTCCCTCAGGTGTCTACCCTTCAGTGGTGTCTCCCAGGTGTGACACTTCACAGTTCATATGCTTTCCAGACGTTCACCGGAGCAGTCATCGTGGGGCAGGCAATCTAAGCTGGATCCCCATTTTACAGATGAGGAAATTTTGCCCATTCGATCAAATGTCACAGAAATAGAAGAAATGAGGTTTGAACATCATCTTCACCTCAATTTCATGGTAGCTATTCAAAAATGTTACAACCAAGTGGGGTAAAAATGAATGAAAGTCCAGTATTGAGCACTAAACTGGAAAGTACTTTGCCGAGTCATTGAACAGATGTTCAGGCCCAAATGTCTGTTGGGGAAGATATTTAGGAAGCACAGCAGTTGTCCTTACTCACGCCCCTGACAGCTGTTAGGAAGGGTCATCCCTGTCACCTACCTCCTGCTGGAAAGGTTGGCCTTCAGTGTCTGGTGTTTTTGTATGTTCTATTGGATATTTTTTAGGTTAAATGGCTTATGGTACTCTTTGTGGCATCTCTACACTGTGAGCAGCAGCAATGTTGTATTTATATTTCAATTTAAAGATGTTATACATTTATACTTAAAACCAAGGACCTGTTATTCGTGGAGGTTTTCCACGGCCAAATTATGATGAACATGCCTCTTTTCACATGATCTCAGAATAAATTAAGACGGAACTTTCTGTCCCTTTGTAATCTATTTAATGTATGTTCTCAACTCCAGCAAAAGGCAGGGGGGTGGGAGGGAGTGAACCCAATACTATGCACACGGTATTTTTAACTTCCCCCTAAAGAAAGAAACAGATAGGAAGGAGGGAGGGAGGGAGGGAGAGAGAGAGAGGCAGGAGT